ATGTGTAACGTTTTTTTGTGCAAATTTTGCATATATACGGATATTTTATCAAAGTAAGTAAATCCATCCAAGAAAAACTGATCAGATTTTTAAATGAATTAATATAGGCAAAGCAAAACATAAATAGCCCATGTGGGGAAACGATGATGATGATGATGATCAATGGTTTCAGGTGTCGACATCGATGGTTTACTCTTAACCTAAATTAGAATCAAATTTTTTCTCTATCTTTTCGTTTTGTTTCTGGTTAATCATCATGTTTAACAAAAAAAAAATTTCATTCATTTAATCATCTTGTTTTTTGTTGAAAAATATTTTTGCTTCCTTTTCATTTTTTTTACGAAAAAAAAGCAAAACAAAAATCTAGATTGATCATCATCTTTGGTTGATTGAATTCTATAGATTGCCAAGAAAAACAAAAAACAAAACAAAATCATTAAAAATCGATTGTTAAAATTATTGTTGTAGATTTTGAATAAAAGGAATCCAAAAAATGATTTTTTTCCTACTATATGAAACAATATATCCAGATAGTAATGATGTTTAAAATCGAAAGTTATTGGTTTACAAAAAAATAAGGGTGGTGAATTTTTTTGATGTTATTTCTAAGAATAGAAAAATCAAGCGAAACTAAAAATGGCTTACAATGTTTATGATGCCGGGTTGTTTTATATCATTTTTTCTCTTTCACTTTTTATTTTTATGGTCATCATCATCATCATCATCATCATCATCTTTATCACCCTTAAATTATCATCATATAGAGAAACAAATAAATCAATAATTCCATCGAAGGAATAATTATTTCATAATATTCGAAACTAATATGTATTGTATCATTGTAAATTAAATCCATTTTTTTTTGTTAAAAATGAACGAATTAAAAAGGGAAATGAAAAGGTTAATTTTTCTCTTTGATGACAAGAATTTCATTAATTTATTGAATCAATTTCTCGTAGACACTTGTCAGAGCAAAACAAAAATGAATGATGAGTTCATCAGTTGAAAGAAAAAATCTACACATTCATCATTTTGATGATGGATTTAGTTGAAACTTGCAAATTTTAAACGATCATTATTTAACAAACATTATTGATAGGATGCTTAACCAAAAGTAAATTAAATCATGTTTAAAACTGTTGTTGTTGTTCTGTTAGTATTTAATCGGTTCAACACACAAATATGATGATGATCATTATTATGAAATGACTGCCAGTGACCAATAATAATTCAATGATTATTATCATCATCATCATCATGGACTGAGGAAAACAATCATCACTACTGTTTAGCATCTACAATATTTATTTATTGTTATTATTATTTCTTCTTTCGAAAAACGAAAGAAAAAAAATTGATTATTTCAATTGATTCAATTTGAAAGAATACGAAAAAATGAAATTGATTGATTGTTGTCGTCATCATAAATTTTTTTTCATCTTGTTCTCTTTCTTACATCCTCCGCTTGTACACTGTACAATTCAGGTGTACGGATTTGATTGAGGGAAAAAATAGGAAAATGAATGAAAAAAAATTGAACAAACAATCCATGTTCATGTCATGACTTGGCGATTACCCAATCGTCCAAAGTCCTTCAAAAAAAACAAACGATTTTTTCCAACTAACGTCTACTACAATCGACGACCATGTCCCGAATTTATCATAATAGTTTAATAACCAGACATACAGACACTCAGATAAGATTGAATATAAACAACAATAAAAAGTAACAAAAGTAGTTAAGGTTGTCAGTCATCATCCAGTATACATCATGAAGAAATAACGTCCAACGGATGTGTTTGTATGTAACGTTTGTTTCAAGAAAAAATCGAATTAATAACGATGATTTTGCAAGGATTATCATAAAAATTGATCAGATTTACTGTTGATTTGATTTAATACAAACGAATTTTATTTACGCAAAAAAATAATGTTAATAAAATGAAAAGAAATTTCCGTTTTATTAAAATGTTTAAGTGTAGAAAAAAACCAGGATTTAACAAAATCCCAAATTGATTGATCACTAATCCATCAATGATGATCAATCATTATATCTGGATGGATATAATGATTGCCTTGAGGCATCGTGTTAATAATATCAAAACTCTCCATCATGATACGCAGTTTTTGTTTTTGTTTTTCTTGTGATACATGCAGTTTTTTTTACAAATTAAAATCATTTTTTGATCAATCATTTTATAAATACAATTTTTTTTTGCTTACATGAAAATAATAATTATACTACATTTAATTTTAATCATCAAACACGTGAGGTTTTTTTCCTCGATCCATCAATATCGATTATCAATCAAAAAAAAACATTTTTACTAAGGCAAAATAGAAATTTTTTTAAATGTTTGCAATGCGGATCGATCCATTGATTTCGGCAATCATTGCTTGTACTTAATCTATTCGAAGAAATTTTCTATTTTCATTTGATCATCGCCCAAACATGACATGGATAATCGTTAATGGCCGAAAACGGTTTCATATTTTTCTGCATTAGCAAAAAAAAATGTCGTTGGGGTTATTTATTTTCATCCATCAACATTTATCTCCCATATATTTTTTCGATAAAACTAAGGTCTTTTTTGTCAGGTTTATTTTGGTATAAATTGAAATTTAAAATTTAAAAAAAAACAAAATCTTTATTTACAAGCTTTCTTTTATTGATATCTTTGCTTGTATATTGTGTATGAAACGAAACATAATGAAAACCAAAACAAAAATCCAAACCAAACCCATACTGGTAATAGTTCAACTTGATAGGAGGAAAAAAAATTATAAAACAAATGAACTATTTTTCACTATAAATAAAATCTATAGTTCCGGGATTATATAATCATCACCATTGATGCCATCATCAACATCATCAATTCGAAAATGTTTATTCATCGATCCAAATGATGTAAAATATAAAAAAAAGGATATCCAGCCAAGCCAGAAAAATAATATAATCTATTAAGTAAGTGAATGAAAAAATAAACTATTGAAAGAATCACTGAACATCATCAGTGAAATAATCGTTCCACACCAAATACCAATAGGCAAGTTTCATCATCACCAAACAACAGCAAACCATTGACGAAAATTTTTCTTTGACTTGTTTTGTTTTGTAATAATAAATGTTATATTAAGAGAGTGGTAAAGGGAAAAGAAACTTACATATCCATCGGAAAGAGATTGAACGATAGAAATTAAACCTGTTGCCCTTATATGTTTTTTTTTTGAATAATATCTGTCAATAGCTAATTTTTTAGCTGCTGGATGCCCATTTTTTCTATTTTACTTTTTTTTCTTGGAAAAAAACTTTTGATTTCTCTGTTCAAATGTTTTAATAATTACTTTATCCGGTCATATTGGTTAAATTAATGTTGATTTTAAACATTCGAGTTTTGTCTTAAAATCTATACAAGTCATTGTGTGTGTATGTGTGAATTAATTAGGATTGAAGGATGTTTACAATTCGATGAAATACGGTAATACTCATTATCTCTCTTTTCCTTGATTTTCGTCGGCATTTTTATCATCAAATTTTACCATCTTTATTACTATAACCGTTTTATTTTTCTGCTTCTCTTCTATTTATTTATTTTCACTTTTATTTTTATTTTAAGATTATAAAATGCAAAATACCGAAATCGATAAAAATCTGTTTTTTTTTGTGAAAGAAATGGAAATGTAAAAAACCCGCATTAATATTAAAACAACCGCCTCAAAAATGTTCCGGATCAAAAACGATGATAAAACCAACAATCAAACTTGTGGTTATATTTCATTCATTGCTTCACAAATGTAGTTTCTCTTCACTCTTTATCCTGTTGTGACATTTGATGGTGACAAAACTAAACCTCATATTTTTGACCGATAATCTGGATCAAAACAAAAAAAATCTAGAACACCATCGATTCGATTTGGACTATATAACTGTATATTATAATATGAAAATGTGATATTTTTTTCTGTTTTGTCTCTTTTACATATAATTTATGATAACGGTTAAAAATCATCATCACCAGTGATCTGTATATCTTTGAACATGCAGTTGAAGATTATCATACAATCAACCACATATACATGTATACCTGTTTGACAGTGGTGAAATTATTGATTATGATGATTAACATTATTATTATAATTATATGATTATCATTGATAAAATTTTCAATACAGTAGTCAAATCAATATATATTGTATGGTAAATATGGATTTTCATGGCATTGGGGAAATTGAGTTTTTTTTTCTCAATAAGCTATATATTCATTGTATTCTTTAACGATTTCAATACAATAATTGAATTACAATAGCTAAATAATTAGTTTATATTGTTGGATTGAAAAAAAAATTTAATTATGATCGATAATCAATCAAAAGATTACAAAATATCTTTCAATGGCTTTTTTTATGATGTTGACTTGTAATAGTGAAAATTGAATTTCGAAACAAAAAAAAAGAATGATGATTATAATCATTTTCAGCATCCATCGATTGATCATTAACAATATTATCAAGTTTTTGATGATGCGATCGAAATTCACATTTTTATCAAATTCAATTGACAGGGTGGTCCAATGAATAGATGGTAGATTGATTGATTGTTCCATTGATTAATATTTAATTTACACTCATTATTACTGATGTAATACAAGCCCATTGGCACCTGCAATAAATTGATAGATTCATATGAATCGATATAATGGCAATCAGATGCTAATAACAATTAATCTGACCATTTTGACATTCAACCTAGAAAAAAGGATTACATGATTTCTTAAGAAAGAAAATCTTAATCTATTTTGATATATATTGTAGACCTCAATTAAGAACAGACTCTTTTTTTCGTTTCTGCTTCGATGACCAATTGAAATTTTTTTTTTTCAAAATTAAACATTGTCAGCCTTCAAAGTTTTTGACAGTTTGTTGTGATGATCTGTTTGTGATCAGAAAACATTTATCATTGTTGATTTATAAAAAAAACTTTCTCCTTTCATTTGATAGAATAATTGGCATGTATTTTTAATTTTATTTTTAGAAAAATAAAACATTTTAGAATTGAATATGTTTTTTTCAAAGACATGAGCCTAAACTTTTTACACTCATTTCTGAACGGAATGTTTTATCTGGTGGAATGTCCGGATTACGGATCCTATTTAATTTATCCATTACGTCTGAATATTCTGGTGTAAACAGAGCAATGTCCGTATATGATCGAATACTTTGTGCTTTGCCTATGAATTTCGTTAACAAATTATATTCATCGATGAAAACTTTTTTCATTGAATTATTTTCTTCAACATTTACCGGATTCATTATGAATAATCGAATAATTTCAAACAGTTTAGTAAATTCAACGTTACGATTTTCTTTGTCCGCTTTTTTCATTAATTCGTAAATCAAATTGAAATTATCCAAACTAATGGTATAGGTTTGTATTAACTTTTGCAAATGACGATTCTGTATTAGTTGTCCAAACAATTTAATCATTGACAATCTAACATAATAATTGGCTTTATCACTGGAAAATATTTGATTAAAAGTTTCAATTAAACTATGTAAATCCCGATTGGTGGCATATATTGAAACTTCGACATTGGTTAATAAAAGTTCATTGAATACCTTGACAATTTGTACAGTATGATTAAAATCATTATTATTGATCAATGATTGTAATAATCGAATGTAAACTGGCATTGAAGAAGATGTGAACATTGTTGTTGCTGTTGTTGTTGTTGATGATGATGATGGTGATGATGTAGAATCGGATGTTTGAAAATCAATCAATTTCAATGCTAATGCTTTCAATTGACGACAACAACAGCATAACATTTTAGCAGCAAAAATAGAATTATCCGGATCGGTAGCCAGGAAATATAACAATCTTTTCAACAATAATGGACTTTTATTCTCCAATTTTTCCAGATATGGTCTCCTAGTACCATATGCATATTTTGTGATAATGTGAACAAAAATTTTGACATAGTTTTCGGCAATAATTGGTCGTTCAAATCGATCCAAGTTAAATATAAAATATCCCAGCATATTTTGTGAAATAAATTCACGTTCAAGTCGAAAATCATTTTGATTTTCTTTCCAAGGTTGACGATGAAAATTCCCACAAAGATTAATACGAAATTGTTCAATTAATTTTTCTAATTTATCTAAATGTTTGGCTTTCGCAATAGCATCGGTCTCATGAGACAACGTAGCAAAGATTTCAGTGCGTATCAATGAAATGATTTGCTGCGGTCGACGATATCGGATAAAGTCATCATTGTCATTGAGGATCATTGCTAGGAAACCTACAGGAAAAAACTTTGAATATCCAGACGACAAACTTGATAATGGCCGAATCGGCAGCAATAAATACCACTCGAGATTTTAAATTCGAAATCATTCAAAGTTCCAAATTCCAAACACATGAAATTCAATTACATTCTTTAAATAAAAACACAATTGTGTTGATTGCAAGATGTCAATTAAAATTTTTCTCTGTTCATTTCTTGGTCTATTTGGTAAGATTTTTATATTCATTCATGTTCACTATCCTAAATTGTTAAATCTTATAGCTTTAGTTACTGAGAATTATGGACGATCAATTGAATCTACGGCATTTGAAATACAACAGCCTCAAGGTCGATCACTGGATTTTATTCTTTCCGGTATTGGAATAAAAAAGAATTCCATTCTTGATTTAGTGAATCAAACTATGTCAGGATCCTTCGATAAGATTCCAGGAGGATTTGGTACGATTCCATCATTTGATACATTTAATAAGTTGAAAACACAAACGTTAAAATATTTCGATAGAATCACACAAATGAAACATAAATTATTTGAGCAATTAATATCGACAGCAACTCGTACTACACCTGATCCTTGCAATACAACATGGTCAACAACAACCTCGACAACAACACCATCAACAACAACAGATGGAACAAGTACTAGAACTAGTACAGAATCATGGGGGTCTACTTCATCATCAACAACCCCTACCACTTTATCAACCACACTTCCGTCAAATTCATCAACAACACCACCATCGAATTTATCCACAACCACAACATCAACAGCAACTACTGAATTCACTTTACCACCAATTACATATGTTATGCCTACTTTGTCAACAGATCTTCCCTAATATAAAAAAATTCAATAAATACGATTACAAATTTCTTTTTTACAACTTTATTATGATTTTGAAATAAAACAAATAAACAAACATAGAAATTAGACAAGTACATTAAGAGAAATGTATATTGTTGTTTAACGAACTTCAAACAAACAAGACGATGACAGGCCATTTTTATTTTTGGTGTACAAACGGAAAAAAAGAAACACTAATTTATGGCTTTCAATTTCCTGTGAAGAAAAATTAACACAGATGGAAAAAATTCATAGTTTAAATAATGAGAAATTTTGTTTTTTTTTTGATGATCTTTAGTTAAGATGATCCCTTTAGATATTACGACATACTTCACAAAACCATTCGTGATTTTCACCTGCACCGAATCCGGCACAAGAAACATGTATGGCATTTGCACCACAACGATCACAGGAGAATAGTTCCCATTCATCATCGCCATTGAAATCTCGGCCACGTTCACATTTACATTCTTCAGCATCGCATCGAAATCGTACATCATCATAGGACATTTCGCCCGATAATTCCCATGTGGATTCTCTTTTTGGTACGAATATTCCACCACGTTTCAATGTTGGTACAAATATGCTTAGATCATTACAATTTGGACATTTGAGATTGAATTCCCCTTGATGATAAGCTACTTTTGACAAACACTCCCGATGATAATATGAATGGCAACATTCAACGAAAAGCAAATTATTATCGCGATTATCACAATTTTTAACATATTCCTGACACACAGTACATAATACTCGACGTTTGAAAGCCGGTACTTGTAACTTGGGCCAATGTTTTCGACAATATGAGGGATATAGCTGCTGTTCCTGATGATAATGACAAAAAGCTCCATTCTGTATTCCACATGGTAAATGAAATGTTATTATGCATTCTTTTACCGAACATCCAACTACTGCTCCTTTTTTGCCACAATATGAACACTTGAGTAGTACACCCCGTCTAAGCTCTTTACGAATATCGTCGGGTAGAAAACCCCAAAGACCTTCATTATATTGGCCATTTTGACTAAGACCTGGTGAAAAATATAAACAAAACAAATGGGCTGTAATATCATCAAAATGTCCAAGTTCACCCAACATGTGGTCATCTTTATTGTTGGTGAAACAAAAATTACAAACATCTAGGGATAAAAAAACAATTACTATCAATTAATAACAAATAATATTAATTAATCAAACCGGATGGGAGTTTAGGTTTGGTTGGTGATGTTTTTGTTTTTGGCTTCACTGGCGATGATCTTGGTGATGTTGACGATCTTCGAGGTGAATTGGTCAAAGATCTTGTTCGTGTTGTTAAGTGGAGATTTGTTGTTATAGATTCATTTTCAATCAAATGTGAATCAGTGGATTGCTGATTTGATGATCGAAGACGTGATGAATTTCTTCTGCGATTAGAATCAGTTGCAGGTGATGATTTGAGGTTCATCATTCGACATGATCTTAATCGTCGTAGATTTTCTTCATCAGTGGATTGCGATGATGTTGAGCTATTGCTGCTAGCCATTGTCGACGTTGACGTAGTTTTTGCTTTCGATCGAGTTTTCATAATCAATATAAAATTTCAGGACCTAAGGCCCAAAAAATAGTTTGTAGGGTAAACAAAACCAAAGCAGCAGCCGCAACGAAAAAGGCGCCAAACTTGCTCGGCTAGGTCGTTGTTTTATAACCGTTTCAAGCCGTGGGTAAATTCAGTGTTTACAATACAAATTGCAGCGCGAGTAAATTTTCTGTTGTCTGCGTTTCACAACATTATACACAGCTGTACGTCCTATTTGAACGATATTTTCCAATCCTTTTAAATGGATTTCGGCATTCAATTTTTAATTTTCATTGTTTATTTAAATTAATTTATTTGTTTATGTTGGAAAAATTCAAGTATATTCTTCCTTACATAATCATCATATTTCTGTCTAATTTGTAGTTTTTCTTCATGCCATTTTCCTTGTTCCATTCTATAGGTTTCCTCCGTGATATTTTCAAATTCTTGAAGTTTATGAAGTAAATTCTCTATTTGGTCTGTGATCGTACGATAAATTTTATCCTGTAATTGCGATTCCAACTTTTTGTTGATTCGTAGAAGCATTCTTCTGTGGAATTTTTGAAATTCAATAATATCGATCAATTTCCTTCCACTTAAAAAATGTCTTTCAAATTCGGTCCACTCATTTGATAAAAAATAAGTTATTTGCTTTCTTTGATCCATCAAAACTTGTATGATTTGATAAATTATCCAAGTTTGTCGATTTACAATGAGCTTGATATTGTAATCCCATTTATTAGCCATAGATTTTCCGAAAATAACCACCTGTTTCCAGCAATCGAGCCAATGATTTAATGATGATTTCAATTTCGAAAATTTGTGAAAAATCTCCTCATATATTGTTTGGCTATCTTCTCCGATTAACATAATAATTTGTTCATCTATATGAATAGGAAGCGATGAATTGTTTGTAGAAAAACTGGGCATGTTTAACACCTGTTGAAATTTATATCGGTTGTCATCCCAACAGAATAGTTCCATGTAAAATGACCGAATTTTGAAACATCTAGCTTCAATCGTTTCTTCTGAATGATCTAAAATTTTATGATTTAATTCAACATATGCGTATTGTAATTTTATTGTGAGTAATTTCATTTTTATATGTTGATTTTTCCAACTCATTTCTTCCAAATTGCATTGATCAAATACAGACATCAAATTCATTTCGACTGTATGAAGTTGCTGCTGATCCGCGATCATCTGTTTGAATTTGGCCATTAACAAACCAAATCGAGAAATTAATTTAATCAAATCTGAATCAAATAATCGAGACCAAATTTTTGTAATTAATGAATTTGTCGAATGATTAAAAAATGCAGAATTTGTAAGAAAAATATCATCGTGAATATTTTGTTGCAATATCCATCGTTTTAGTGAAGTCCACAATGGCTGCATTACTATCGCCGATAATTTCACTATAGTCCTGTACAATATTGGATCAGCTGTACTATTATTCATAGTCAAATCAAATAATTCATGGAGATAATAATTATTTGGTTTAACTCTTTCATCACCGACAAAGCTGATGGACGTCATTTCAATTATACGTAATAAACAATGATGTAAGAAAAGAAATTTTCTTCGAATTTTATCAAGAAGGACATTCAATTTCAACAGAGTTAAATTGTCACCATTATTGCTTTTTATTTGTCCATCAAAAACAACGAACGATTTGCATCCATAATCACCATATAGTTCTTCGGTTACGAAACGATTAAAATCGACTAGTTCCTGTCGTACACCGATTATAAACTGTTGCTTTATTATTTTTTCAATATTTGAAAGATTTGTCCTTTGAATCGATTTTTTCACTTGGTAGTTATTATCGTCTTCATGGTCCCTGCAATTTATGTTCAATAATTGGTCACATTTTTGTTGTAACCATCGATATAGGCAGCCAACAATGGCTAAACGTTTCATCAGAAAAATTTGATTACGTTCTAATTGTCGTCGAGAATGTGATGACAATGATGTTTGCTGATTATTGGTGGGCAGTTGTGAACACTTTTCAATTAATTGCAAAAATTGAAATGACTTTCTTAAAGTTTTTTGTAATGGCGTAAAGGCTAAATATTCGCCATCATCACCTTGAATTAGGCATAATATTTCTTGTACCTCCACGGATATAGCCATTTTTGGACTTTTTGGAACTCTTGTATTAAAACACCGTTATAATATTTGTGACATGACTAACATTATGGTTGCATAGACAAAAAGTATTAGTCGAATTTTTTCTCGCAAATTTCGAAATATAATTCGATAAAATTCTTAGAATTTTATTTAGTTTTTTGTTTTTAAAAATTTTAAAGTACCAATTACTTTTTCCCCTAATAATGTTATTGTTAATGTTTATTATTATCAATGCATAGTGGAACCAGGAACAACATCAATGTCAAACTAATCATAAACAACAACAACCAAGAAAATAAACTTTGATCCTGTTTTATCGGTCTATCAATTTTTCGATTCATAAATACTATTTGTAGTTTATTTCATTTCATTTCTTCTTTTTACAATTCAATTTAATTTAATTTGATTATTTTTTTCTCCCCAATTTTCTTAATCAAAAAATGAGAGGTTTTTTTGTTCATTTATTGTTTTGATAAATTATATGGTAAAAATAATTATCGTTACAGCAAGAACAACGAAAAAAATAACGATAATAACAATACAGTTGTAGTTTTTTCAAATTATAATCATCATGAAATTTCTGTTTGTTTGTTTGTTTGTTTCAGATCTCGAACAACAACAAAAACAAGAAAAGGAAACAAAAATAAACAATTTGAAATTGCATACACGCGCAAACAATTGTAATTCAAATGAAAAAAAGACAACAATAATTTGACAAGATATGGTATTAAATTAATTATCATAAAAAAAATTACATGAATCAAATACATTTTTTTTCTGTTGCTACTTTATCATTATAATCATGATGATTACTATGTTTACAAAATATTAAGATTACAACTGGTTGTCAATCTATTTTTCCTAATATTATACGGATGGAAAAGAAAACTTTCTCCAATAATTTCTTCATCATCATGAAGGATTTGCTTTTTTTTTCTTTGTTTGCCAATTTTAAATACATTAATGTATATGTTTTTCATATTGTTCAATTGATTAACATTCAATTCGTATTTATGTTCTGTTTTTTTAAACTTTTGGATCATTGTAATTCGTAGGTGTATATTGTACTTAAGCATATTTGTTCATTCGTACAATTAAGTAATTGTATTGTATACGTTTGTTTTTTTTTCATTTCGTATATGATTTTTTCCACTTTAGCTTTTTAACTCGATCTTTACCTATTTCTTTTTGTGTTCAAAATAAAAAAAACGTTAGGTTAGATTAGTTTTTGTTGGCTTCCATCCAACCAATATCGATTAAATCGATCAAATCAACTATATAGTAAACCAGGCGAAGAAAAAGAAACGAAAAAAATACCGATTGGCCAAAAATAACGATTCGTCATTTCAAATTGAAAAAATAAAATGAACATAATGTCCATTCAACCATGGAAAACAAGTGAAAATTTTGTATACTGTGTATATTTATACCAAAAAAAAATGATTTGGTTGCCCATTTTTTTTCTGTTATTGGTTTTGGCTATATTAGACATTTGTTGTTGTTGTTGTTCAATTTTGATGGATGTTACATTGTATGCACTATATTATATGTACAATGATCGTCATCGGTAGTAGTTTTTTTTTCGTTTGTTGTTGTTGTTATTATTACTGGAAATCCTAATACATTATCGGTCGGAACAACATCAACAACAACAACAAAAATAATAATAATAACCACTTAGTATGTTTTTTTTTCTTTTTTTGGCTATAACATTTAGCAAATAATAACATTGTTGTGTATGTTATAAGTGTATTTTAAACATAGTATCAATTCATATACCGTTCATTTTGGTTCGATTTGACTCCATTTTTTTGTTGTTGATTTTTTCTGAAACCAAAAAAAACAAAGTTTATTTTGATCCATACGATAATTATTTGAACTAATAGAATGAATTTGAAAAAACATTGAACACTTTCTTTGGCTGAATTTTATTTTTCTCACCTTCATTCGGTTTGATATACAAAAAGCATTTTGGTTTTTTCCATGATTATACGTCCATTATTATAATTATTTAACAGATTGTATTGGTGGAATCTAAAAACAAGATTCGTGAAATTGAAAAAATATTTATGAACATACATCCGCCCCCACAAACGCACACACATGTACAGTGACAGGCATAATTTGTTTAGAGACGCCGGTGAAATGACGAACAAAAAAAAAAATCTCCGATCGAAATAAGCACGATTGATTTTTGTTTTTCATTTCATCACAAAAACAATATGTGTTGGTAAGAATGTGAATAAAATCAACAATAAGAAAGTAGGAATCTAAAGAAATACAAAAAAGTGTAGGATGAATAACGCGATTGATCAGATGAAATTTTTTATTTTCTTCATAAAAAAGAACAATGTACTTTTTACCTAACGGATTTGAACATATGAAACGTCAATGAGAATCGTATTTGAAATAATGGGACTTTCAATCTTTTTTCTCGTGATTAGTGATTTGGCGGTCACTATATAAAATGTACAAACATTCCAACAACAAAATAAGCAAACTTTGACATTGTCAATTATGTTTGACATTATAATTTCGGAAAAATTTAATATATTCGCCTACACACGCATACATTTGAATAGGAAAACACAGGTGTTTACATGCATAGCCGCATCATCATCGACACATCGACATCATATGAATTGAATAGATGATGACCATCGACAGATTTTTTTTCGCAGTTATTTCCATCCTTATTATTTATTATTTTTGGAAAACCATATAACGGTTGTTAGTTGTTGTTTTCTTTCATTCCATTCATACAAACATGGATCAAACATAACAAAACCATAATAATTCTTCACAGACAATAGCATCGAATCAAATACAATACAAACACAATACACACACACGGACAATTGGCAGAGCAAAAAAGGAAGGAAAAAAATTAAAGCAATATTAATTATGGTTTTTCGCCATTTTTAAACTTTTTTTTTCGTTTTTTTTAAATTGAGGATTTTCTAAAAAATTTTCTTCCAACATTATTATTAATACTTGTACTATTATTATTAGTTTAAGAACAAGAATATGACATTTTTTTCTGGTGAACAAATAACTGATAATGATTATTATTATTAAGATAATCCATGTTTTGTCAG